TGTCCAGTATAATCCCCATGGTGTGTTTACAACAGTTGAAATTAAATTCAAAAACCACAAGTTTTACAGACTAAGCATGCTTTAAGAATACAACTGAAATCAAACATGCCCAACCTATAATTTAACATATTTCAACACATATATATATCATCAATATAGCATCTAATATACATGTAAAACTCCGTTAATGATTAATTAAACTCTAGAGACTATCTAGGTGCACAGAACACAAGCCAGAGGGAAGGAGGAAGAAAAGAACTTGTCTGTGATTTCAGTTTTGAAATCTCGGCGTCGTGTCCACTGTTCTGGCAACACTGAACTACTGTATATCCTTCTCTTACTTCTTCTCTTCCCTTCTCTTAGGTCCGACCTTGAAGCCCTAGTCGAATCCCACACCGAACATGCTTTGTTCTCTCAAAACCTCACTATGTAACTCTCTGTTTCTTTCACTACGTGAATAGGGGTTCTATGCTTGTGGTTCACAAAATTAAGTTTTCTGTTCTCAGACCCTAAGTCGACATGTCATATAATATTTATAGGCATCAATTAACCAAAACCCTATTCCAAGTCTAACTATAAGTCGGCCATGCTGAATCCTAAAACCCTAAGTTACGATAAACAAAATAAATAAACAGTGAACTGATTAAATAAATTAATTAAAAACAGTTAAGGCAACCCAATTAAATAATTAAATAACTAAAAACACTTAAATGAGTAATTCCAATTAACAAAATTAAAAATAAATCAATCAAGTCAATTAAATCACCACAATAGAAAATAATTAAACAACTAATCCAATAAAATGACACATAATCAAATAAAATGCGATTAAATAATAAATGAAATAAAAATTAAATAACAGGAATATCCTTTTAAAATTAGGGGTATTACATCGTGTGCTGAAGCCGTGGTCATTTCCAACGAGTCTTCGGTGAAACAATGTCCTGAATCATCGAGGGCGGCAGGGGAAACGTCGCGGTCGACAGTGTTGGACTGCCAGACGATGGCACCAGAGCCGTGTCATTTGGTGAGTTCTAATTACTATTTTGGTTTGAGGTGTAGAGGGTTGATCCTAATTGGATGTCTGTAAATTTGGTGGTGATGATGAAGAAGAAAAGTGAAAATAAAATTGGGTGTAGTATAGATTGGGGTTTCATTTATCTCTCTACTCTCTCTAGTCTCTGTGTTAGGGATTCAAATGATTTAATTATGTGTGCATATCTTTCAACTTGTAATTCTCTATGTATATCTTTCACCACTTGTCGCCATAGCCGAGCATAAAGATCGATGTACTCGTTTTGCCCGGCGGTTGCTGTAATACCCCCACATTTTCCACGCATAAGTTGATCAGGATTATACACGAAAAATGAGAGGTATCAAAAACCATTGATAATATACAAGCATGGAATACAAAATGATAACAATAGAAGAACTTTAGACAGGAAAGGAAAACTAAATGATAAAACATCCATCCATCCTTTATTAAATACAACACTCCTTTATACAACTTGGAAATCCTTTATCAAGGATCCCTAGATAAAACTTAAAAGTTCAACGTCGGAAGTAAATAAAACTGGAATCAAAATGATACATAAAACTTCTACCCTGAACAAGACCGTAAGAGTAGATGAGTTCGGATGGTGGTCCCACATTACTAAGCCTCAACCTTGAAACGGGTACTGACCATGTCCTGAAATAACAACAATGGTGGGTCAACCCCACGAGCAAGTCCTCTCTACTATGACCCAAATCAGAGAATCAAATAAATTACTCATTACTATTCGGAGGTATACTATATCTGTATACACCCTAATGAAACTACACAATGTACAATATGACCTCAACCAGAATAGACGGTGATCACTTAGACTCACACGAGGTGGTTAAGTGTCTCCTTTCCCTACCTGGGATATCAACTATTAATACAAGGTGCACGGTACTGATAACACAGACTATAAGTCCTACACAGTGGTAACATATCTCAAGGTACTAATGAAGATACTGAGCATATCACTTAGGCAACACATGCCAATAATATTAAACCACATACCCCGACAGCCACACATCTGTCTATGGCAACGAATACATAAGGTATAAATGAGTCTCAACTTATTAGTCAGCTTATATGGTTCTATATGGCAACACATCTATATAATATAAATGCGACATAATTTATTAAGTAGTCCATTTACCACCTGAAATGCACACAGCATAATAATAATGATTTATATTTCATTAACAGCATAAATAATCCCATAATGTATAATGGACAATTTATATGAAGAAAATCATGCAATCATTTAATTTAACATTAATGATTAATACCATATAAAATAATAACACAATTAATATTTCAATATGTCATTAAATTAATTATATCCGTTAATAGCGATCCGTACTGTAAACGATACCATTAATGACTAGAAATATTAATCGGACATAATAATAATTAACGGGTAATAAAAATAATAATTTAATGTCCCGTTAAACCCGTAACTACCAACCCTAAGCCCAAAAATGCAAGTTGAAGGTTCTGGAAATTACAAAACAATCCCTAGGGGTATTCTGGACTTTTCCAGTAGCTGTATGGGTCTCACACGCGCCCTCACGTGCCTCCCAAAGCTTCCCACACGCGCCGCCACCTTCTTTACACGCGCCCCCACGTGCGTCTGGCATCAGCAACGCACGCGTTGATGCGTCCTGCTGACGTGGGCTTTCTGGTTCGTTGGTTGCATCAAGTTTCCGTGGGCGTGCTGCACTGGATTAATCTACTGATCCTAACTGATTTAGTGATCAACAACCCATCTATGGTGTACTGTACTACACCGAATTGATCCAGTGATCAACAACCCGTCTAACGGCCGCTGATCTGTACTCACACTAACCCCAATGCGCCGCATCACACCGGATTATTCCAGTTGTCTTCCCCACTGCCGGTGACCGGAATCTCGCCGAAAAATTCCAAAAAATTCCAGAAAATTCTAAAAACATTCCTGAAGCCTTAAATAATTATTTTTAGCCATATTTAATTACATAGGCTAATAAAATAATATCTACCACCTTAAATAATTAATATTTCACTAATTTAATAAACAAAAATAATAATTTATTAAAATCCTAGAATGCTCTTTATGCTCCAAAATAATCTAAATAAATTAAATAACTAATTTATGGATTCAAAGGGGAAAAGTAGATAATAACTTGCCTTATGGATTTGAAACAAATTCGCCGGTTACGGGTAGTCGGGTAAAATCACCTACACCAGCCCAAGCTTCTTTTTCTCTCTTTTCCTTTTACTCTTCTAAAATGGCTCACTGTTATTTTTTCTTTCTCTTCTACTTACGTGACTTGCTTCAAATTGTAGCTAGCTAACTAATATATACTAACTTATATAATATAAATATTACAAATATCTAAATTTACATTAACTATCAAAACCTCCCACCTAATTTAATTCAAGGCAATTAAATCTAAGTCAAATAATTGGCATAAAATTCTACCCTAGTAAATGAAATTCTATCCTAAGATTAAATTGACATCATGACATTGTTTTAATATTATTTTTATGGTTATTATTATTATACTACAAGACAAATGTAATACTTTAATTAATTAATATTAATTAATCTAAAACATAACCAATAAAATATATAAATTAACATTATAATAAAAAAAACATACAAATAATATTACATGCACAAATAAAGAATATTAATTTAATAATTTAGCATACATAATTAAAAGGTGAATAAATCTATACATTAAATAATTAACCTAATACAAAATTAATTTAAATAAACTCTTTAAAAATACGGGGTATTACAATTACCATTTTGAGGGTGGAAAGTAAGGTTTAGTAGGGATATTTTTGGAACAGTAAAAAGGTAAAATAGACATTATATTAATTGATGGGCGTTTTTTGCACACTTTTTTAAATAGGGGACAAAAGTGCTATAGAAATTTCCACCAAAAAATACAGGTCTATCTCTATCTCTATCTCTATCTCTCTTCCTATATATATATATATATATATTATGTAATCAATAATGTCCTCAAACAGTGTTGTACAGGTCTTTTGGATGGTCTAACAACACGACAATCTGATACACGGGATTGGCGGCGAATATCACTGTCCGCGATGTTAAAGAAGGTTGGTAACTGTCATTAATGTCTGTATTCACTCCATCATTTTTTTCAAGTCTTCGCATACAACTTCAATAAGTGCTAAATCAAAAGAGTTGTCATCTAGTGAGAAACAGATTGAAAAAACAGTTTGATTCTAAGAACCTTAAAATAAAATAATCCTAAGACTAAAATATTATAAAAATAAGAATAAATAGAATTGCTTAACCCTAATTTGCAAAACTTCTTAATTTGATTTATCTTATCCCCGCGGGTCATATACGTTCTAACTCTTGGGTCGTGACTTGGTCGTTGCATGCAAGTCAACGGCCACCAACAATTTGAAGAAATTACGCCATTCATAGGTGGTGTTAGTATTCAAAAGAAATGATTGATTGTTATACTCAATGTCTTCGGTCAAAAAAAAAAAGTACTCTCTTGGGTTATAAACAATTCCTTCGGGGGAAAGTGTTGAGTATCAATTAAGAGAAAAAAAATATATATATATATATAGTTATAGTCAATGTCATGCATACAATATATACTTCAAGAGTCAGACTCTTGGAAATAAAGGAACAAAAAAAAAAAAATACAGAATAAGATTACTCTGCACTAACAGTGAGTCCTATATTCTCTGTCAAACGTCTGCATCCCACCGATCAAGTCAAGTGATTCGAACCATTAATATACATACACCAAGATTATTCTGCATAATAATATACATAACCAAGATTATTACATGAACCATGTAATAATTTCTCCTGGGGAAAGGGAGGAAGAGAGTGTGTGGGTTAACCACAATTCTTATGGGAAGCATGAGTGAATCATCAAAGAATTATGGCTTTATCATATTTCTTTCTTTTTATTCTATGTTTTCCATGTTAACAATAACCTCCGATGCAGTAGAGTTGGACACTATAACTTCAACTCAATCTCTTTCAGATGGGCAAACCATGGTCACTCCAGACAGAACTTTTGAACTGGGATTTTTCACCCCCTCAGGTAGTACTTCCAGGAATCGATATTTGGGAATATGGTACAAGAAAATATCTCATGGGACTGTGGTTTGGGTTGCAAACAGAGATACTCCACTTACCGATACCTCAGGAGGAGGTGTCTTAAAGCTCACCGACCGAGGAATTCTCGTGCTTGTCAATAGTACAAACACAATCTTCTGGTCTTCTTCAAACTCATCATCATCAAATAACAACGCAGTGAACCCAGTTGCACAGCTTTTGGATTCGGGTAATCTTGTTGTCAAAGGTGCAAATGATGCTGCAAATGATGAGAATCTGCTATGGCAGAGTTTTGATTATCCGTTTGACACTTTGTTGCCAGGCATGAAGTTTGGAAAGAACCTAGTAACTGGAATTGATAGGCATATATGGTCATGGAAGTCCAGTGATGACCCTTCTAAAGGTGACTATTCTTTTGGACTTGATCTTCATGGATTTCCACAATTTTTCCTCCTGAAAGGTTTGGTTGAGCGGTATCGTGTTGGACCATGGAATGGTCTCCGCTTTAGTGGCGGAGTGGGTTTAAAACCAAACAGCATCTTCACGTACCATTTTGTTTTTGATCAGCAGGAGGTGTATTATGAATATGAGCTTGTTAATAGCTCAGTTCTCTCACGGCGGGTTTTCAATCAGAATGGAATTGTACAGCGCTTGATATGGAATTATAAAACGCAGGATTGGACAGTCTACGGGAATAATCCATCAGATGACTGCGATTTTTATGGGCGGTGTCAGGCGTATGGTAGCTGCAACATTGGCAACTTCCCAGTATGTAGGTGTCTTGATAAGTTTGTGCCAAGGTACCCAAAAGATTGGGACGCAGCAGATTGGTCAGGTGGGTGTGTTCGCAGAACACCCTTGAATTGCCACAATGGATCATCAAATGGATTTCTCAAGTATTCTGGTGTTAAATTGCCTGACACGCGGTATTCCTGGTTTAATAGGAGCATGTCCCTCAAGGAATGTGAGGTTGTATGCTTGAATAACTGTACTTGTATGGCTTATGCAAATATAGAAGTAACAGCAGGAGGAAGTGGCTGCTTGCTTTGGTTTGATGACCTGATTGATATTAGGGACCTCAGTGAAAAAGGGCAAGATATTTACATAAGAATGGCCTCCTCTGAGTTAGGTAAGATATATATTCCCTAACATGTAGTTGAGAGCTTTTACATTCTCTGTGGAAATAAAATGAAAGTTGCCCTCTTTTTAACAACTTTTCTAGCGGAGTTGTAGAAAGGAGGCATAATTTTTTATTTATTTTTTTATAAGTGAAAGGAGGCATAAATGAAGAGTTATAGGAAGCTCTAACAAAATTTCTTGCACTTCATACAGTACCTAGGCATGGATTATCTTATCAGTTTTGGGGTGAGTCCTAAACTGAAAAAAGAACATGCTTTACAGTATTTAAGATTAGTCAAATTGGAATGTCCGCTTCATGGTTGTGCCTTCTTTTACTGCTGTTTAGTTCATATTTTTCCTGCCTTAAATTATAGTTGCTTTACAGTACGGTAAATTTTAACTGTGAATTACCTATCAAAATTTTTTTTTTGACTGTGCAGATACACATAGAAGCACCCATTTAAATGGACGAGTGAGGATTATAATCATTCCTATATTACTTATAGCAGTGTTACTCATGGGCCTATTCCTGGTCTTGCATTTCTTGAAGAAGAGGAAACTGAAGAGAGAAGGTAGCATATCTAGAACACTTAAATTACTTTTCCTTCCTATTTAGCAAAGAAAACTTCAAATTCTTACCAAGGCAAATCCGACCCGAAGTTTTCTATTTTATGTCTTTCTCGTGTCTTGTCAGCATTAAATGTCAAGATTTTCAAATTTATTTCCTTTGCTACTTTATCTTGGATTCACTCTGTGCCTCCTGATATTAATGAGCCACTCTAGCCTTACAAAAAGGGCAGGTTGCTATAATCTGATGGCTCACGTACAGTGAAGAGAACCAAAATTAAGCTTTCTGAATGCTATTAACTTTGTGATTTTCATTTTCCGTATTCTTAGTGAAACTTATTGATAAAGTCATCCAACCAAAGTTATTAATTTTTTTATTTCTGGCAAATAATCTACTAAAATGTCTTTCAGATTGTGGGTCTCAATCCTAATCCTCTCTATTAGGAACCAATATGGTTTTTGTACGGGGAGTTACAGCAACACCACGATAGATGACATTTACGGAAGTAGGTAAATGATTAAAGAAACAAATAAATACTGCTAAAAGTACATCTAGGGTGTCTGTCGTAACTTAAGTTTGACATCATTTCACTTTATTTTCTGTTGATATAACAAAGGACAACAGTGGGGCATCTCTTGTTCTACCCACTGATGTTGCTTACTAGTTTCTTTTTATTTCTTCTTAATCAAATGATTTTCATGATGCCACTGAAATTAAGCGTGCCGCACCATACCATTCTGGAAATGGAGTTAGTGTGATCCATTAGGAAGAATAATTTAACGAATTTAGTTTGGGGTGTTATTGAATGGTTTATCCAATTTATGGATCCATGCCATATTCTCATACATGTTAGTTCAAGGAATGTGTACAACTTGGTTTATTCATATGAAGTTCATTTCTTACTCTGCAGGACTGATTAGACTCAGTCAAGATAGAGATTACGCCAGTGAAAACGAGAGGACATATTTAGAGTTGCCATTATTTGACTTTGAAACAATAGCAAATGCCACAAATAACTTTTTGATTGACAATAAGCTTGGAGAGGGCGGCTTTGGACCTGTCTACAAGGTAATGATATTCATATAAAGCTATGGAGCAATTAGGAAAAATAGATTTTTGCTAGCAACTCTGTTATGATACCATCTCTAGGCACCAAACCAGTATTTGCATAAATAATTTTCAGTCACTAATATCTCTGAAACTTTCTCAAACTTAAAATTCTTCAATCTGAATGATTTACAGTGTCAATAAGTACTATTCTTTTCAAGGATTCAATCTAGACTTTTCTGGTCAAAGGCCTGTGTATGCCTCTTTGGATGGTAAGAGTGTTGGCCCAGTGCACGAGGGCACATAGCATATTACTAAAAAAATTTGTCGAACTGCACAAATGATTTGCCTTGCTGGTCATAGACAAACAGTACTGCAAAGACACCACTTTGATCTCAAAGTTGGGGTGTTCCACATCTGTGACTCTGTACTACGAAGTACGAACTAATTGTCTTAATATACCTATTGGAGAAAATCTCCACGTAGAATAGCACACTGAGTGCCAGGGAAACAAAAAAGGGAAAATGGAATTCTCAGAATGATAATTTTCAGGGTGTGTTAGGAGAGGGACAAGAAATAGCTGTGAAGAGACTTTCAAAGATTTCAAGACAGGGACTCGATGAATTCAAGAATGAAGTTCTATGTATTTCCAAACTTCAGCACCGTAACCTCGTCAAGCTTCTAGGTTGTTGCATTCAAGATGACGAAAGGATGTTGATCTATGAATACTTACCCAACAAAAGCATGGATTACTTCATTTTCGGTTTGTATCACTTGAAAACTTGCTTTATTTAGTCTTTTGTAATTTTTGATAGTCTTCAATATCTAAACTTAGTCCTGCCAAGTTACTTTCATTATGCATTATCCAAATTCCCCACTTCTTGTGGAGTGATGTTTAGGAGGATGCTATTATCAAAAGCCTTGGGAGAAAGGTCAAGTGCCACATCCCTCCCAATTGAAGATGGGAAATGGGATACTCTGATTTCATTGTAACAAGTGCAGCTGCTTGAACTTGCTCCCAAGGATTATCCATAGATTTGAATTTATTAAAGTACTTTTCATTTAGCCTCATGAATCCTACTAAATAGCATCATGAATTAATTGGATGGAAAAATTGGGCAGATAAAAAACATAGCATGTTATTGGATTGGCCTAAGCGGTACAACATTATCAACGGGATTGCTCGGGGACTTAATTATCTTCATCAAGATTCCAGACTGAGAATTATCCACAGAGATCTCAAGGCTGGCAATATTTTACTGGATAACAATATGAACCCCAAAATTTCAGACTTTGGCATGGCTAGAAGTTTTGGAGGTGATGAAATGGAAGCAAATACAAATAGAGTGGTTGGAACACAGTAAGAACTTTAAATATGTTGAATATACTTATAAAAAAAATTAAAAAAAAAAAGAAATTTAAATATGTTGAATATGCTACTTGTGTTGCTCCGAAATTGATTTCTTTTTTATTGACTTCCTACAGTGGTTACATGTCACCTGAGTATGTAATGAATGGATTCTTCTCGGTAAAATCGGATGTCTATAGCTTTGGTGTATTGGTGCTTGAGATAGTTAGTGGGAGCAAAAACAGAGGATTTTCGCATCCAGACCATAACCTCAACCTCATAGGACATGTAAGTGTCAAGAGCTATTATGTATTATTTCAATGCTTTGATTCATCGGTCACTGACAAAAATGGGGTCGCAATTGTATAGGCATGGAAACTTTATAAAGAAGGCAAGCTTTTGGAACTGTTTGATGCATCGATATTGCATTCATTTGATCTTACTGAAGCATATAGGTCAATCCATATCGGTCTATTGTGCGTGCAAGAAAGTCCTGAAGACAGGCCAAACATGTCATCTGTGGTTCTGATGTTGGGTAGTGAGAGTGCATTGCCTCAACCAAAAGAGCCTGGGTTTTACAATGGAAGAAGGTTTCCTAGGGTAGATTCATCATCAAGCAAGCCTGAATCGTGTTCAGTCAATCAATTAACTGTAACAATTTTGGCTCCTCGCTAGAAGATGTTTCAGGTCAATATTTTGGTCCTCCACACCTGGGAAAAAAAATCCGTGCAAGGCTCTTTTTCAACAGAAAAAGAAAAAAGAAAAGGAAGAGGAATGGAAAATGAAGTTTTTGCCAATGTAGAATAATTGGCTGAGGCATATTTTGAGAAAAAGAGAACATCTTTAGTCCAAGAAGGCCTCCAGTAACTTGCAGTATTGCTGGGAGGACGAGTCATGTAATTAATATTTGTTAATTTTTGTGGCCAGTTCCAATATATATTGTCTCGACTTGAATTGTTATTTCATTTGTAATTGATAAGTTTGCTAGAAACCTTACAACTTGGTAATGTAGAACCATCCTATGGTTACTTTCGCAATTTAATTTTTATTTTTATCTAGCAAGAAACATCCTTATTTTAAATATTAGAAACCCTGTTGGCTGAAGACTTATTTCAGGTTGAAACTTTGGTTTCCTTGTTGCCTCTAAATCAATCGTCTTGGAGATAATAGGGCAGGGGTGGAGCCCGAATTTAAATTTAGGGGGGCACGGTGTCCAAAAAAAAAAAAATCAATTAGAAGGAAAATGATGTAGGACAGGACTGGCAAGGAAGTCAAAATAGTGATGGAAGCAAAATTGACTATGGGGTGTGGTAATAGTGTGATAAATATGTAGTATGGTAATGGTGCTAGAAATAATGTAGTAATAAATGAGAATAGCGTGTGGACTGTGTAGCAGTGTGATTTGTGTGCTATTTGTGTCTGGGTGTTGTAAGACTTGAGGGAGAATAAAAGTGAGGGTAGTAAGTGAGGTATGAAAAAAGAAAAAGAAAGGCAATATGTGTGTTTTATGTGTTGTGTAATAGTTGCGCAGAATATATGGGCCTATAACTATAAATGTGAGGGAAGAAAATGAGTGATGTCCTGGGTGTGTGAAGATATATATATATACACACACACACATCATATGTATGTGGTTGAAGATGCAAGAAATTTTCACTCTCAATTTAGAAAGAGTAATACTATACTTCAAAGATTTTCCAACCTCTTTTCCCTCTATTTTCAATCTATATATAGGTTGTCACAGATCTTTTAGAAGCTTCCCAACTAACTCCTTACACTGGGCCGTTCTTCTGGGCTCTTCTTGGTTATGGGCTCAATTCATTTTATCTGAAATCAGGCTTCCAACATGACCAGTGAAGACTTGGTCCAGAGCGGTTACTCTTGCCCAACCTGTTATTAGCAATCTGGATCATACCTGGCCCAGGTCATTTTTTGGTATCCTCATTCGCCCCCATAATCTCTCCCTAATTAATTAGGGTGAGATTATCGAAAGGACATAATCATGAAATGACGGCTCGAAGCGGTGACGTGGGGAAACGAATGGTCGGCTCAGAGATTCACGCTTTGAGATCTATTGCACCATTATTACCATAGCTTCTTGGACATTGAATCACTTTCACTTTAAAAACCCCAACTTCTCACTTTTTGCCTTTCTTCCACCTTTCTCACCTTCATCCTCCAACGTCATCTTCTTCGATTATCTCTATCACCTACCTGTATTCTCCGGCGAGTTTCCTGGGTTTTCTTCGACGAGTTTTTCCCTTTACGATTCAACTTTTGCTTTGTTATAGGGTACTTTTGCGAACTCCTTTTCCAAGGTTAGTTCCATTCTCTTGCTACTATCTTTAGAAGAAAGGAATTTTATACTTAAAAATTTCTTCCCCTTTTTTAATGGTTCCCTTTGATTTAGATGTTATCCGTTCAAGGAACAACATCCCAAACGATGTCTCCCTCAGGGTTAAAAGATCTGGTGAAGGTCTCCTTCCAGGGGAGGTTCTCTTCTCTGCTCTTCACTTGAACATAATTAGATTCCTTTTATACTCGTTCTTTTGTTATGTCTTCAATAAATTAGGGTTTTCTCCTCTTCAGGTTAACCCTAATTTCCTTAGGGTAATATCAGTCCTCTTGATTTTAAATTGTGATAGGGGTCTTGACTTAGATATCATTGACCTTCTCCTTTGCTATCGAGTTACCAAAATCAGAACCAACGAAATGTATTTTCACTTCTTTCCCATCGAGAAACGATCTATCTGTACGGACAACCTCTTATTTGAAAAGGGTTGGAGGCAAAACCTAATTGGGGTCAGTGGAAATTAGGGAACTCCACTCGCTCAGACCTTCCCTATCCCAACCACTTTTAAAGAGTGCTCTGTCCTTCAATATAAGAAATTTAAGAATCATCTCACCGACTGCCACTGTGAATCATTTCTTCCTCGTTTCTGTACTTTTCTTTGTAAATGCCTTCGAATAAATCATGGCGAATTGGTTTACAGCGTTTGCAGGCCAGGCTTGACATTCTGAAGGAGAGAGTTCTGAGTAACATCCCCTCAGTCACTGACCTGCTCACCCTCGACAATCTCTCTGACATATCCGTCATTGGATCCACCATGGAGAATATCCAAATTCCTTCTTTCAGCAGGAGGAGACGTTCTGCCCACACTCCTTCAACTGCACCAGCCATCACTGCGGCTACCTCACCCATCCTAGTTATGGCCCAAACTACCGAGCATCTGATCGTTGGGCCTTCTACATCAACCTCAGTTGAAGTTCAGCCTATCGTACCGAATAATGAACCTTCTGACATTTTGACTGAAACTTCCCCACATGGTGCTCAAAATGTTGGGGGTTCTTCTCACAGCGCTGAAAGATCTCCTCCCGCCCGAGCTGGCGTTTCAAAAAAAATCCTGGGAAAAAGACCCATGCCTGAGGGTGGTTCTGATCAAAGTGACCTCCATCCAGCCCGAAGGGCCCAGACTTCTTTTAGGGTCACCAATCATGTCCCCTCTCCTCAGCTATCCATTCCGAAGGGTGAGTCAGCCAGAACCTCCGGCTCTTTACCAACAGTGACCCCATGGCGTCCTTTGCTTAGTCGTGAGGATGGGTCAGTTATTGCCCCCATAGATTCTTTGTTCAAAGACCCGGTCACATCATTTACCTTCTACCACTACAAGAAATTTGGTTTTTAGGGACAGTCAAATCTATCCCTAAAAACCCCAAAACCGTCCCTAATGATCAAAATCGTCCGTCCCTAATTATTGCGTGCCAAAAAATCTTTAGGGACGGTAAAAAATGACCGTCCCCAAAAAACTCGACCTTTAGGGACGATACCTACTGTCCCAAATAATACTGTCCCTAACAGGTATTAGGAACTGTAGAAACGGTCACTAATCATTTATATAGTAGGGACAATTTTGGTGACTGTCCCCAATACATATAGTATTAGGTACATAATTCTTTTATTTATTTCTAAATTTGCGACAGCTAAAAACTGTCCCTAATACTCATTTGATTTTTTATTTTTATTATTATGCTTTTATTTTGGGCTCGGTTTGATTTGTGTGATTAAAATATTCTATGTTGCAAGTCCAAAAAAAAAAAAAAAAAAAAAGGGAGATTGTGTATGCAACTTTTCTGAATCAAATGGGACAAATCCTGAATAAAAAGAACACAATTAATATGTTCTATACCAATATCAAATTCAGAAAAAGAATTATCACAATAGCGTTATAAAATCTATAAAAACTTCAAGCTCTTAATTTCATAATGAAACTATAAAATCTCCAATTTTTTAAACAAAAACTACAAAATATTCGCTTGTAGCTTTAACATCAAATGGTTTCAACATCCTCATAGTCAGGCATCATTGCTCCAGCCGTTCCAAGTAGCTTCTTCCATGCATCTCCCATATGTTTGAATCCAAGAGAAGTGAGAGAAATTAGGAAAGTGAGCAAAAAAAATAGTGAAAAATAAGAAATAAGAAAGGCTAAATGTGATATCTTTATGTTATACACATGATTAAATAAAAGAGAATTATATTTTTTTTTCCTAAGCCAATTTTATTATTCATCAACAATACAAAATTTTTACTGAACCTCAGGTCATTCAGAATGAAAATTTGTGAGGGTAAATATGGTAAATACATTCACATAAACAAGTGGAAACCAAAAATTATATAGGAAAAAAAAAAATTCCTTTAGTTATCATTAGCAGGGTTGGCAAATGACCATATACTAAGATACATCCACCATCCATGCCTGTCCAAACTACATTTTAAGATTCAATCTATATTTGACAAAATTAAGCAGCAGATGCTAAATGTTGTTCTAGTGCACATGGGCTTTTAGATGAGAAGCGCTACTGCCAATTTTCATATAGGGAACTACTTGGTAGATGATAAAAGCTCAGGCTAACTAACACAAGTACACAGGCTTTTGTTTGAGAATAGCCACTTCATATAAAAAAAAATAATGACAAAGGTTTGATCTGCCACCAATCACTCTCTCAGTCGCAACAATAACATAGGTGGATCTTAGCACCAAGTAGTTGCCTTCTTTTAGTATTTAAACATTTTGCCATCACAAGAAAATGCAATTCAATGCAATGAAGAATACAGAGAAGCATCATCTTACATTAATTTTAAGATATAAAGTACTACCTAGTTTATGTCATGCCTAATGAATAATCCAATTTCTAGAAAACAATTTGGAACCAAGATCCCACATGTTACGGAAAAAAGTTCAAGAGATAGTTGAGGCATTAAAACTTACACCAGTTGCCAGATAGCATGAAAGGCTCGTTTAGCAATGTTGGCTACAGATGCAAGAAGCAAGAAGTATTGGGGAAACGCCGGAGTCAGCAACTCAACTCCAATGCTCAAACTGAACAGCACGAATGTCCAGAACCTAACTCTCTTTAAAGGAGATAACAGATAGTGATTAGTTAAAAAAGCTTTAGACATCACATTCTAGGGCACATACTCTGCCATGTCTTTCCATTCAATTCTTCTGCAGTTATCATTTTCACCATTCACATGGGTTCTTTCAAATATTTTCTGACATAACAAGATTATCGTCCAAACAGAACAACGAGTTGCTAGTGATTGCCAATTGCAACATGAGCAAGTAAACAGTAATACCATAATATGCGGCCCAGATTTTTGTGGGAATAGAAGCCATACCTTTAAATTGGTATCAAAAGCAGACGCTAGGCTGGCAGTATAGATGCACCTACTTAGCCGTCCGAGTCCATCCTTCAAGACCCAATTCAGGGCAGCAGCTGATGGAAGTGAACGGGAGTACCCAATTCCAATTGCTTGAAACAATGCCTAGCAATAGACCATTTTTTTACATCAGAAGGACTACTGAAAGGATAAAAAATAAAAAACACAAAGAGCATAACCCTAAAATCAATAAATTTATCTGCTTTTGTTTGTATGACTTGTACATTATGAGGGGAAAAATAAAAATAAAAATCAAACCTGATAGCCACATATGTACAGTGCAATTACATGTGATGAACAATTATACAATCAGCTTTCCAATTGAAATAATTATTTTGGCATGAGAATGACAATGCTTGCCCTTTGGCAATATACCTACAGAATCAACAATTCATCAAAAGAACAGAGAAGTGATGTTCACATAAAGTCCATACTATCAAACATTTGTGGAAAAGTATCTTCAAATTACACATAATCATTAACCTTTCACAAATTGTTAAGCCATCAAAAACACCAAAACTGTTATTTAACTCAAAAATGAGTACCCCACAAACACACACACTTACAGCACTGAAATTTAATCTCAATCATGAACAAAATATTACCTGAGTAGCAAGAACTTGAAGTGCAGAACTGAAGACTCTATGGAAGAATTTCCACTTCACATACTCCAGATAATTCCCACTAATTTCCCTCTGCAAAGAGATTGGCTGCCGCATTTATCCCTTCTGGTGGAAGTAATATATTTTGACGAGTAGTACACAACGGCTGCGGATGAATGGCAAAACTTTGAGCCCTGAAGCAAAGCTTAGTTCCCTGCTTAATAGCATTGTAGCATAGAAACTCTATAGCAATCCCACTTCCCTGCTCACACCCAAAGGTCCTAAGCCTTAACAATCCTTTACTTCTCTACTCCCCATTTTTATCCCGTCTCTCCCTCACATCTCTATAAACCTTCAGAAACCCTCACATTTCTCTTTCACGCTGATGTTTGCATAATGTACGATAATATGATTTGGCTACAAGTTTTTCCTTTTACTAATGCTACCATATTTTTTCTATGCTGCTAGTGTAGTCGGCTTCACTATCAGTACACTCAAAAGTCCTAGTAGTGGTTTTAAATCAGCACATACAAGTCATAGTACTACAGTAGCAACATGATAATCAGCAACAAGACTCATAATCTTACAAAGTACCACTACCAAAACTAAAGTGACAATGCAAATATGATTTCTACTACTACTGTAAAAGTAGGAGAATGAATTTCAACTCTGAAATCAGATTTTTTTTCTAATGGCTACAATTTTGCATGATATAGGTTTTTATATCTTTTTTATTTTTATATCTTTTGGATCGGATGGCAAGTGGCCAGCCCATTACACCTAACCTTGGCATTATCTACACAAAGTTGCATTATCATGTATGATAGGTACCAAGCAATTAATATAAAAAATGAACATGTATTTTCGAATAATAAACTGGAACATGTTCCACAAGATTTATTCAAGTTCAAAACTTATAAAAAAATAATAATAATAAAAAAAATATAAAAATAAAAATAAAAATAAAAATTTATTCAGGGTCAAAGTAATTTGACAATTATATGATGTTAGGAAAACCAATAATTACATTACTTTGTTGAACCCTAATAATTACAACTTTCAGCATCTATTTGAGCCAACAAAAGTCAAGCATTTCATAGTCCAAGATATTAAAAAATAAAAAATGCATGAATGGATGTACATTATAAGTCAAGAGATAAAACAATTCTACTATGTTCGGCAAATTGAAAAAAAAAATACAAAATTTTAATTAAACTTCTTGCAATCCCAAATGGCTCCTACAACCTCTTCTAGATCAAGGAAAATTTTTAATTAAACTTCTTGCAACGAAAATCTGAAACTATGTCTAAAGTCCCTCGTTATCTTTAACATCCCTGTGACTGTCTATAAAGCTCCCTAACCTCATCTAAATCTCTGACGCCCAACAAATGGCTCTTACAACCTCTTCTAGATTAAGGAAAAATGATGATGTTGACCTTGTGTGGACAATGAATTAGGATTTGTAAAAGATCGCGCCATTAGCAGGTATGGTAATTTGCAATAACTTTCAGATGTAGCAAAGGAATTATGCTAATTTTTTTTTTTTTTTTTTTTTTTTTTTTTTTTTTTGGGTAAATAAGGAATTATGTTATCTAGTTGAACTGTTAAGTCATCATGCTGGCAAATTTATACCAAGATGGAAACTCTCTGTTTCCCTCCTTTTCTCAATACCTTTCACCATATGCCACCCAATACATTCAACTAGCTGGAACTTTCTCAGGGAATATATCAATTGTATTTGTAAAATCAATTGTTTTCATTTTGGGGTTGAGAGTACATGAATATGGTGGGATGTTTACCATGCTTATGGTCCATCCAATAGGCTCAAACATGTGCAGGTGTCATCCTATTTGGAATTTGTGTATCATTCACCTTATATTGGACTTACCATCCATTCTTCTATAATGAATCCCTTAGGAAGTATGTTGAAATGGCAGTGTGTGAGAGAGTATTTGTCCATCCTGATAATTCTCTCTATGTAGAACTCTGTCAGCACTGAGTCTATGAGTAAGTAAAAGGCTAATGCCTGGTGTGGTCTCTATCAATCAAAGTTGCTGAAATAGAGAACTCACGTCCTCGGCTTTGCATCTTGGGGCTTCACCAAGTGACTGCACCTACTATTGATGATTTTTTTGAAATTGATATTATTACAACAAAACACATGCTCTAACTTTTAAAAATGAACACTTGTCTTATTATGTAACTTCAGAAAGTTTAATTCTGCTGTTGCCCTCGACCCCTTTTAGTAGATATAAGAAATCAACAATGCTAGAGTTGTTCTAAAATTTTCAGTTCTTGTACATCCAGAAGATTGTGTTTCAGGTTGGAAGAAACTAGAGCTGCCCTTAAAAGTAAAAGGAGCTTCTCAAGATTGGTTTGCTAAAATGCATGGACATTGACAGAGGACATGGACACAGACACAGACAAAAAAAAAAAAAAAAAACATGTAGACACTAGAGGACATAACCATAAAATATATAAATTTTTATATAGAAGTTATTTTATACTACAGTATGCAACTACAGAGCTATGATTGTTCCAGTATCATGGACAATTTCTATTGATTGGTAATAGATCTTCTCAATTATGGTGCTAACAATTATTTTAACAAAAGCAAATAAGTTTCTCTAATGACTTGACTCTTCCATAACCATTTTTATTATTAGATCTCCATTGCCCAGAACAAGGCACCTAAGTTTAAAATATTTTTAACAAGAACAGGATCACCAGAGACAAAACACTAAATCAAGTTGATGTCCACTTGGGTGAACGGCACCCCACTGACAATTTTAGCTTAAAATACAACATATTGAAGAGCACCAGAGACAAAACACTAAACCAAATTGACGATCACTTGGGTGAACAGCATTAATGATCAAATGGAGATTCCTAGAGAAGTGAAATTGCTATAATATCAGCTCTGAAGCCAGGTCAACTCAATCCAACAAAAGCCTAATCCAACTACATTATATTCGCTATTCACCAAAAGGCAAAGGCCAGTTATAACAGAGATGGTTGAGATATGAAATTAGAGAGAACTGTAAACAAAAATAAACTTTTAAGCTGATGTCAAAGAGAAGCACAAAAGGTTTCCAACAGTATATCTAGATAATATTGAAATTATAAAAGGGCAAGATTTGGTGCCAATTTTCATCTCAAGAACAAGAAGGGGAAATTAGGGTTTAAAGTACTTACAACTTACAGGAGCCCAACCCTTCAACCACCACTGTCCAAACCTCCGATACATCACCAATCGACCACTAGCGCACCACCCGCAACACCAATCGACCACAGCCGCCGTGCTCTTCCCTGAGTTACACCACCAAGCCCTGATGTCGTGGATAAGAGAAAAGAAAGGAATGACGATATGAAACCTAACCCAAATGTGCTATATTAGGGAAAAATAATAATAAATAAAATAAAAATAATTAAATTATTAAGGCACAATGTTTGTAATTGCCGGAAATAATTTCTATTTTACGGCGCTATTTTACGGTCACGTAGGCTGCGTCCGACGTCACTCGTTTGCTGTGGTGTACAATCAGCGACCGCGAGACGGTGGTCGAAACCCTAGATACGATCCCTTCGCCATCACTGGTGAGAGAGAATCGTCTGCCCCCTGAGGTGCCATGAGAGAGAGAGAGAGTTAGGGCATTGTAGATCTTCGACTTGAGAGAGAGCAGAGATATATATACTTAATAGTCAAAAACTACGTCATTTATGAAGGTAGCATTTACTATTAGCGAATCATGGACGGTAAATTTACCATCCCCAAAAGCATTTTCAATTTTTTTTTATTACAAAAAATTCACATTACCAGAAAATCACTTAGCACCATATTTCCCGCGAGCAGATTTATTTGGGAGAATTTTTTTGGGCTTTAGAGACGGACCTAGGAACTGTCCCCAAAAAGTAGTGTCTTTAGGGACAGTTTACCGTCCCAAAAGGCTATTTCTGATAATTTTTTTATTAAAACAAATATAATTTCACTAAATATGGCACTAAATTTTGGCGCCACTGGCTTATTTCATTTTTTTTTTTGTCTTTTAGGGACGGAAAGGCTAGGACTGTCCCCAAAAAGGGTCTTTTAGGGACGGAACTTTTAGGACTATCCCTAAAAGGGGTGTCTTTAGGGACAGTTTTTTTATTGTCCTTAAAGGACTATCACCAATACCCTTAATTCTTGTAGTGTACAAGGGCTTATGGACCCCCAAAGATATTGAGGTTCAAAACAAAATGACCTTCAATGAAATGTACCAACGCTTCCAACAGCTGCTGTTGAAGTAATTCTTCTTTTCCTTTTTTACTTTTTTTTTTCCCGTTCTGATTATTTGACATTTGTACTTATCATAACACCTTTGCCTTTGTGTAGACTCTATTTGGGATGTTCACTTTCCAGAAAAGTATTGAAACTTTAAACAAGAAGATCAAATCCTTCTCTGCTGGTCTTAAAAGATCTGTTGAATCAAAAAGGGTAACCGAAGCCAAAAACACATAGCTGCTGGTTAAGCTGAACGAATCAGAGAATGAGAGAAATGCTCTGAGGGCTGAGAGAAACGCTCTGAGGGCTGAGAGGAATGCTCTGAGGGCTGAGAGGGACGCTCTAAAGGCTGAGCGGGATTCCCTCCAAGACGAGGCTGACGTTCTAAAGACAGAAGAATGTCGCACAGACAGAAAATAATATACTGAGGGCAGAAAAGGGGGACCTTCAGCTCACTCTGATTACTGAACGGTTGACCCATTCTAATTCTGAAGAGAAGTTCTTAAATGAACGCTCCGCTCTGTTGAATGTCATAGGCAGAGTCGATGGTGGCATGAGAGCTCTCCATGCTCGTTTCACTAGGATATGGGCTCTTAGATATGCCGAGGGGTACAGAGACGGTTTTATTGACCGTTCTCCCCCTGAGGGCGAATCAAGCTCTTGTGCAGGTCCAGATGAGCTAGATGCCTCCCTGGGCATTAACCCGCCAAACACCTACCAAGACCCACTTTCTGATCCTGCTGAAAACATAATTGTTGAGTGTAATGAAATCGCAACTAAAGGGGTGATCCCATCTATTAGCCCTGCTCCTCTGAGTGTTCCTCATATCACCACTATTAGTCCAGCCACTGCTGCTACCACTGACGGAGCTCTGCCAACTGATGAGGTCATTCATCTTGACTCTCCCTCCATGGGCGATGAAACAGCGAATGATGGAGAGGAAAACAGTGAGCCAGCTGGTGATGATGGGGCAGGCAATGGATCCGGCATAAGAGAGGGTACTGCAGACTAGCGTTCTGCTGACTTTTGTAGTCATTTTCCCTTTTTATTTCAATGTCAACTCATGTACTTCAAAAACTATTTTGTGATGAATGAAATAACAATTCTGTTTTGCTAAGTTCTATTCTTCAACCTGAACTTGAACGAGTTGATAGTTTGATTTTTCTATTTGATTTCCATTTCACATAAGTGTTTGGTGTTCGGCTCGTGGTGCCATTTGTCACTTACTTGGCTAAGTGCTTCGCGCTCGGCTAGAATGCCACTTACCACTTTTTATTTCTACGCAAGTGTTTGGCGTTCGGCTCTTAGTGCCATTTGCCATTTACTTGGCTAAGTGCTTAGCGCTCGGCTGGAATGCCACTTGCCACTTTTTATTTCTATGTAATTATTTTGCGTTCGGCTCTTAGTGTCATTTGCCACTTACTTGGCTAAGTGCTTGGCGCTCGGCTAGAATTCCACTTGCCACTTGACTTCTATTTTATGCAAGTGTTTGGCGTTCGGCTCTTAGTGCCATTTGCCACTTACTTAACTAAGAGTTTAGCGCTCGTTTAAAATGTCACTTGCCATTTTTTATTTCTGCGTAAGTGTTTAGCGTTCGACTTTTAGTGCCATTTGCCACTTATTTGGCTAAGTGTTTGGCGCTAGGCTAGAATGCCACTTGCCACTTGACTTCTATTTTGTGCAAGTGTTTTGCGTTCAGCTCTTAGTGTCATTTGCCACTTACTTGACTAAGTGTTTAGCGCTCGGTTAGAATGCCACTTGCCACTTGACTTCTATTTCGTGCAAATGTTTGGCGTTCGGCTCTTAGTGCCATTTGACACTTACTTGGCTAAGTGCTTGGCACTCAGCTATAATGCCACTTGCCACTTTTTATTTCTGCACAAATGTTTGGCGTTCGGCTCTTAGTGCCATTTGACACTTACTTGGCTAAGTGCTTAGCGCTCAGCTATAATACCACTTGCCACTTTTTATTTCTACGCAAGTGTTTGGCGTTCGGCTCTTAGTGCCATTTGCCACTTACTTGGCTAAGTGCTTGGCGTTTGGCTAGAATGTCACTTGCCACTTTTTTTTTTTAAAAAAAAAAAGAAAAATGTTATTTGCTCAATTCAATTTTTGAAACCAACTGAATTCCTTTTATATATCCTCGCAAAGTCTACACATTTGTAAGAACATAACTCTGAATGAATACTGCTTAATTCAATCTTTTATTGGTAGTACCTTTTCAGAAACGTGGCATTCCACGGTTTGTTGACCAATCTTTCTGGCATAGTCTCTAACACGTATGCCCCTTTTCCTATGGCTTCTGCCACTCTGTATGGGCATTCCCATGGTGACATCATCTTTTTGATAATCCCCACCTTCTTTTTCAGAAACCAGGTCACCAAGTGCAAAGTCTCTATGCTTCCCCCTTTTGTTGTGGCTATTCACGAGTGTCTGCTGATAAGATGCGAACCTTATTGCCACTGCATCTCTTTTCTCTTCCAGCAGATCAAGGTTAAACTTCAACATGCTATCATTTTGCTCTTGATTCCACGCTAAACTTCGAATAATTAGAACTAAGTGCTCGACGGGTATTACTGCCTCAGTGTCGTACGCCATAGCCAATGGGCTTTCCCCGGTCGGTTGTTCTATAAGCCCATAAGACGTTCGGAAGCTCGTCCAACCATTTCTCTTTTTCATCTTCAAGCTTCTTCTTGATTCAAGCAAAGATTGTTCTGTTCGTGATCTCAGTTTGAAACTAAGTGCTCGTTCGGCGTAGGTTCTGGGCAGTTCCTAGGATACGTGGTCAATAACAGAGGAATTGAAGCTAGCCTAGCCCAAACAGAAGCTCTGATAAAAAATGCAGAACCAAGAATGATCAAAGAAGTGCAAGCACTCACAGGTCGAATAGCCGCACTGGGTAGATTCATTTCTAAGCTGTCAGATTGTTGTAAACTATTTTTCGATACAATAAGAGGCCATGGAAGGTAGGCCTGGGGGGATGAGCAACGACAGGCACTGACCAGCTTGAAAGAATATACGCAGAACCCTCTAGTCTTGTCTGCTCCCGAGCCAAATGAAAAGCTCTTTATGTACCTTGGTGTGTCCAGCATTGCAACGAGTGCCGTTCTGGTGCGATGTGAAGAAGGAAAGCAGTTCCCAGTGTTTTATGTTAGCAAAACAATGGCCGAACCAGAAAGAAGGTATTCAAAGGCCGAACGAGTGATCCTGTCATTAGTAAATGCAAAAAGTAAACTCAGGCATTATTTTAAATCCCATCCTATAGTCGTTCTGACCACCTTTCCTATAAGGATGATCCTGTATAAGCCAAACCTGTCAAGAAGAATGACAAAATGGGCCATAGAGTTGAGATTATTTGACATAATGTATGAACCCAGAACGGCCATCAAAGGACAAGCGGTGGTTGATTTCCTGCTGGAATTCGATGCAAAAGACATAGAAGAAAATCTTGGATGTTTTTCATGGAAGCTCTTTATTGATAGTTCTTCAAATCGAATGATGGCAAAAATTGGGATCAAACTGCAAACGCCAGAGGGCATCACGCTGAGTCAAACGGACAGACTTGAGTTCAGGGCAATCAATAATAAGGCTGAGTACGAAGCATTGCTAGCTGGGCTAAAGCTGGCTAAAGAGTTGAAGGTCAAAAGTGTGATACCCCCGGATTCCCGAATGCGGGTTGGCCAGACCCACGCCCGAATACCCGAGGATATCAAAACAAATTGATAATAAACGAACACAGAGTACAAAAGAATAAAGAAGAATAAATAAAATGCTGACAAGAAACTAAAATGATAATCTAATAATAAACCTCATTATATAAAATAGGTAGGACTTAACTTGATATAAAGTGTGAATCACCACTGTAATCCATCTAAACCATCTCGTGATCCATTTTATTCGTATGAACTAAAGTCCTACCAGTTCGAAATAGACAAGAATCAAGTTGACCTAATGTATCAGTCAACCAATATCCCATCCAGAATCTTGACCCTTGTGTAAAATCCGAAATCCCGCAACTAAATCTGTCAAATGCTCTCTCATTTCCACTTTAATATAGGAAATGGCTGCAAAGGATTTAGTGATCTTTGATGGTCCATCTCTATTATCTAATAAATATTAGAAGAATTAAAAGTTGTGAAACTTAGTCCGTGCATCCTCCATCCAATTTGTCTATAGAAAATACCGTTAATCCAATACCACCAGCTTTCGTCTGTACCCAACGTTTAAATTAGAGCGTCTTCAAAAGCGAATTCTGTAACTAAATTTATCCACCACTGATTGGTGATAAATTTGCCAATATTGAAAATCAATCAGTAATTCCATTTATCATTAGTCAACTATGACTTTAATTCAACAAAAGTTAACAAACTACGACCTTTCCATGCATACCATACACCTCATCTTTATAAAGGTGTTTGGT